TCTATGCGAAACCCCCATTCTCCGTCATCCGACGTAACGTCTCCGTTCCCTACTCAGGGAACGAGGGTTACATCCGTAACCGAGACGTTTTTTTTTCTTCTTTTTTTGGAAGGCACATTTCCTTTTATTATACTTAGAAAAACAATTATTGCTTTTGAAATACAAATAATTCTTTCTACACATGTATAGTGTCTCAGGCAAATTACTGACTTTGCATATATCAAAGCAAACCTTCTTATCAACCTGTTGGATCAAAGTTCAGTTCACAAATTTTAAAATGAACTAGTTCAGTTCATATTTCATACTTCAAAAAATGAACTAGTTCATAGTTCTTGTTTCCATAATTATGTTGCTGCAAGCTTCTTTTTTATTCTTAGGCTATTATTATTGCCACAGCCCATATACAACCACAGATAACAATTATTTTGTCGACGGGCAGAGTTTGCACAGACATGTAAGATTTTCCCATCCTCACCGACCTCATAAAACCCTTTTAAATGATCTTACGACGCCTCCTCGCTCCGCGGTTCACAGACACTAGAATGAACGAGTTCACTGTAATGTTCATCAGACAGTAATACAGTAGTCTGCGTTCAGTTCACGTTCGCCCAAAATATGAACAAGTTCATGAACTATCGTTCATTGAACGCGTTCAGACACAACACATATTACAAGCTCAAAATGATTATTCTCACATTGTTTTAGAGCAGGGATATACAACACGTTGCTCGCGAGCTAACAGTAACTGTGGCCTGATTCGGTGGTAGAAGCTCGCCTTGGGGCTGTTCACATATCGCGCTCACATATTTTGCACGCTCAAGTTTGTTTCAAATGTATGCGCGCATCAAGCGCGCTCATAATTGAAGCGACACGCTCATTTTTTCCAGGCGCAGTATATGTTTGTACTTCGTGGTTGTCTATGATAACTATTGCAACAAACCCACCAAGCTGTTATGAGGCTATCTGGTAGCCCATAAGGGAAAAAAAAAAAAACGTGGCAAACGCAAAGGCGGGCCGCACTCACATTAAACCTTAATGTCAAGTGGGGGGCCACGGGCCGCGAGTTTGAGACCTCTGATGTATAGGCTGCATAGCATGTGAGCAAAGCGGAGCGGCGTGACGCTTAAATATAAGTAAAAAAAAAATACATAGGTTTCACATTTATGTTTAATAATATTATGTTACTTTTTTATTATTTCATCTATGTTGAATAGGCTATGTGAAAAGGCATGAGATGAGTAAGATAGGATCAAAAGCTCAATATACCCAATATATCTGAAAATATTTGGAGTGGGTCAGACATGATTTTGACCACTTAAGTTTTGTTTTGTAGAAAGCCTGTCTTTAAAGTGAATTTTGTTTTGTATAAATTCTATCTTGGTTTTAATAAATGTTTCATCGACAAATTGACTGGATTAATACATTAGAAGCAAATATAGGAGACAAAATCAGGACACAGAGGCATGCACGTGAACTGGAGTGCTTCACATAAATGAACCGAAACACAGCGATACTTGCCTCGCAGACCTGAGAACTACAGAAAGCTTTAAATTTCTACTTTTAAACAAAACAATTAAAAAACTAAAATAAATTGGCTACTCTCTGCGTATGTAGGCTAATTCGAAATGTGCATTTCTGTCTATAGGCCTATGCGCGTTCACTGCGAAGATGGCGAGTCAACATCATCAACTTTATCTTTGCTGCTGACACTGAGAAAAAACACTACTTTATTAATAAACAATTAAAATTTTTCATGCATAATCATTACTTTTTCCGGTTCTTTGTGTCAAGCTTTATGCATGCGTTGAGATGCAGAATAGTCAATTAAAAATGCTCATTATGGTGTCTCTCCCATTTAATTAAATCAATATGTGATTAGACAAATGGCTTAAATTAACTACTACTAGTGGACTAGAAAACTAGGCCTCATTTTGAGGAATGAATGAACATAAACAAACCTCTGTTCAGAATGCCGCCGTGTTGGATTGCGTAGAACGCTCATCGAATACAAGGATTTATCGCGTTTAGGCTAAAAATAGGTTTGGCGCTTATCGCGGTTTGGGAAAAAACTGCATCTTACAATACATTTTTAACAAGGAAATATAGCGATTTGGCATGAAACATTGATGGTGCAGTGAATGGGTTCTGTACACAGCCGAATGATGACACAACAAACTCTTTTTTTTTTAAATGCCGTTTATCGCGTTTTGGAAAAGAGCTCTTCATATACAGGAAATCGCAATGGAAGAAGATTTCGATATATCAACAGACAAATTTGAATTTGTTTTCACAAAAGAAAAAAAAGTGAGTGACGTAAACGTGCGAGAGATCACTTCCGGCGCTTTCCGGTGCTTGCCGGCGCATGCACAGACCGAAGAGCCCGCGCCATCAGTTCTACCAGAAAGACTCGGGAGATAAATTGAATAGCAGTGTAAATTTATTGACAGCTCAGCAATCATAAATTTATGAGTTCTTTGGCATAGGCCCCATCCTTAGCGAGCAAAGCAAGGTTAACCGAATCTGCATGTCCCGCCTGAGAATGAAAGCGGGGGCGAAGCTGACCCCCCTGGAGGTAAGGAAGGGACCATCCTGGTGGTGGTGGTTGGGGATGATGGAGGTAAATAGCAGCGACAGCATCTGAAAACTCAAGACAAGTGTCTTGAAGACAAGTGTAGTAGCTACCAATCTTTTATACTGTGACTATTAACACCTGATTTGATAGGAGTGAGGTAATACATGACGCGCTGATTGAGTCTTCCTGACAGAACTTCCTGACAGAAAGCTAAAGCTTTCATATCACTTGGACGTGGCTGTGGTTACAAGAGGTAAAAACGATATAAATACTGTTCATTTTCTCACACAAACCGCTCGTTTCGTGTCTTAGGCCATCAGTGTGTACTTACATTTACGAGTCATTAAATCATGTTTAATTTGGACTTTTCTGTGCATGCGCTTTGAGGTGAACCCAGGGTAGACCCCATAAACTTCCATTATATGACTGACAGACAAGAACGGTTTGGCCTAAAAATATCAAAATTGAAAATACTGTGGAAACAAAGACACCTACATCGTGGATGCCCTTGGGATAAGCTAAACATATCAAAAACTAATTTCAAAGTGAACCATCCCTTTAACAAGCTATCTTCGGTGAAATTTTAAATCGCAGGTAGCTTTTATGTTTAGTCTAAATGGCACTGTGATGATGAGCAAGTATGGGAAACCATGGGGTTGTCGTAATTGTTTTTATTTTAAAATGAAAAACTGCATTTAAGGCTATTTATCTCGAATTCTGGTATAATAGAGCTCCGGCAGCTGACGTCACGCAATCTAAACTCCGCCATTTTGGCAGGCAAATCAGGAGAGCACCAGAGCGGCTGTGATATAGCGGTTGAATGATTTAAAGTCTATTTAAAATTTAAAACCATAAAATTTCAAAATGACTTCAGGGAATGTTTAAACTGTTGATTAACCCATTTAATCCCACCATAAAGATATAAAAAAATAATTGTACAATAGTGTCAGTAAAGATATTATCATTATCCCATAAAACACAATGTTTCACACACTCCATAAACGTTTTTTTTTTTAAATTATTTTATTGATTATTTCAATGGACAACTAATGACACATCACTAGGATATTTTCATGTCTGGGAAAAATTTGGGAAAGTCAAAAAAGACTTGAAGAGACTCCCTTCACCAGTAATTAATTTTTCTATGACCCTCCAAAACGATTGTGAAAAAAGATAATTTATATATATAAAGATAATTCCCCGATAATTTATTGATTACTTCTGTACTGGTTTGCGCTTGGCAAAGATGTTCAGATAGCCTTTTCTATGTATTTATTTATTTTTTTTACAACTAACAAACGACTAAACTCCTGCTTTCTCATCCTACTAAGGCTGTAACAATATAACCTACCAAAATTCGGTTCGTATCATGATTTTTTTTATTTTAGATTAAAAAAAAATAATAATACTAAAAAAATCACGTTTTTGGTGCTGATGCATATGGTGCGTTCATGTAACAAGGGTGGCGCTCCAAAGTATCTAAAAGCTGCAAAGAACCGGCAAAGGTAATGATTATGAATATGTCAAATATAGCAAGGAGACATTTGAATTGTTTATTATTAAACAAGGTTTTTCTGCGTCATTGTGTCATCTTCAAGATACGAAGTTGATGATGCTGACTCGCGATCTTCACAGTTAACGCACCAGAGAGAAATGCATATTTCATATGGATTAAGCATGCAGAGATAATGTTTTTCGTTTTTAAATGTTCTGTTTTAAAAGTAGACATCACGCTTTCTATACATTTATAAGGTTTGTGAGGCAAGTAGCCTAGCAACATTTACGGTGAATTTCGGTTTATTTATGAGAGTCCAGTTCACGTGCTGGCATCTGTTTATTTTCTATCGTCTTCTACATTTACGTCTTATTTATTTAATCAAGGCAATTGGTTGATGAAACATTAATTAAAATAAGATAGGAATTGTATAAGATACATTAGGCTACTTTAAAGAAAGGCTGTGCTTTCTGAAGTCTGTGAAAGTTTACCCTGTAACATTGCACAAGAACATATTTTGCCAGAAATGTGATATGTTTTATAAACAACAGACGTACTGTACAATTTTTGCCTGGAATATATTAACAGAATAGGTACCTGTTATTTTTTAACTAATTAAATAATTTGCTTGTATATCTGCTTGTTAACCCTTTATTACCCCAAACTTAACATATTGTTCCCTTACCTACACAGAAGTACACTAAAATTACAGAAACTTACACCGTAATTTCAGTGTACTTAAAGTTATTTGCAGGTTGTATATCTGTTTGTTACCACTTTATTACCCCAAACTTAACGTATTGTTCCCAATACCTACACGGAAGTACACTAAAATTACAGAAACGTACACCGTAATTTCAGTGTACTTACACAGTTGTTAGTGGGTCGTAAAATAAAGTGTTACCAAGTATTGTGACTGTTGTTCATTTTCAGGTGCTGCAGCTGACAACAGATTAGATGATCCCCAAGCTAGTAAGAAAGCTTTAAGTTTTAAAATGTGAACAGTACAGTGTGTCAACAGGAATCAACAATAGGGATCATATAATGTCGCTGTTGTTTATTAGAATCCATGTAGTAATTGTTGTTAATTTGCAGATGCAGTGCCCATGCTACAATTTCAAGGTGAGGAAGAGTAAAGTTAAAGTTTATATGCTATGAAGATATGTCAACATCAAATAACATAACAACAACAAAGTATTGTAACTGTTGTTCATTTTCAGATGCTGCAGCTGACAACAGATTAGATGATCCCCAAGCTTGTAAGAAAGTTTTAAATTTTAAAATGTGAACAGTACAGTGTGTCAAAAGGAATCAACAATAGGGATCATATAATGTCGCTGTTGTTTATTAGAATCAATGTAGTAATTGTTGTTAATTTGCAGATGCAGTGCCCATGCTACAATTTCAAGGTGAGGAAGACTAAAGTTAAAGTGTATATGCTATGAAGATATGTCAACATCAAATTACAGAAAAACAACAAAGTATTGTAACTGTTGTTCATTTTCAGATGCTGCAGCCGACAGCAGATTAGATGATCCCCAAGCTAGTAAGAAAGTTTTAAGTTTTAAAATGTGAACAGTACAGTGTGTCAACAGGAATCAACAATAGGAATCATATAATGTCGCTGTTGTTTATTAGAATCAATGTAGTAATTGTTGTTAATTTGCGGATGCAGTGCCCATGCTACAATTTCAAGGTGAGAAAGACTAAAGTTAAAGTGTACGTATATGTTATGAAGATGTGTCAACATCAAATAACATAACAACAACAAAGTATTGTAACTGTTGTTAATTTTTAGATGCAGAAGCCGACAACAGATTAGATGATCCCCTTAGATCAAGTGTAAGCCTGGAAGAACTAGAAGAACTGGAAGAGAGGTAGCCTGACTTCGCCCTCCTACGTACTTCCGCTAAATTTTCATTTTCCTTCAGTACTATGTCTGGGTTTGTTGTATGTTTGTGGGTTTTCTCGGGTCCGGGTCGGGTTCGGGTCCAAAACTCAGACGAGTGTCTCGGACACAAGTTTGGTATCAGTGGACTCGGGTCTTGGGTAATTTAAAATAAATATGCCTTTTCAAAATGGACCTGAGAAGACCCAAATTATTTTAAACTATGTTGTGCATTTAACAAAATTGCAGTATTTAAAACAACTCTATGGGCCCTATCTTGCACTCAGCGCAAATGACTTTGTACACTGACGCATGTATCATTCCTATTTTGCACCCAACCATAGCGGGCTTTTCCCTTCACAGACGCACATCGGTAAACTAGGGAATGAACTAGCGCTCCCTGGGCGGGTCGGCACAAAAAAGGAGGCGTGTTTCGGCCAAACATTCCCCAGTGGTATTTTGCAGTTCCAGAAAACAATTGCGCCACTGACCAGAAAAAAAACCTAAAAAAAAACTAAGTCAGTGGTGCATTGCGCATAGATGCTATTTTAAGGGTGCATGCTTGGCCATAATACAGAGTGTGAACAACACGCATACACTGTAGATGATTCTCTCATCTACACAGATGCAGTTTACTTTTTGCAAATGATACATTATTATAAGGAAAAATATTAAAACACGAGGGAAATCATTGATGTGTCCATGACGATGGAAAAAATAGGCATAAAGCTTACACATTTACCCAAATTATTACATGCATGTTTACCCGAATTATTATATGCATGTTTACCCGAAGTTAATTTGGGTGGGTTTGTCCCGTCCCCAATGTCACTTCTCTTTCTTTTACGGCCCTGACGAGAACATCGATCTCCTCGTCTGTGGACCTATTCGGAAGCGGGAAATGCGCCGTTATAATAGTATTGCGCCATGGAACAAGCGCACCTCATTCATCATACCATCCATACCATACCATCTTCTTCCGCTCATCTGGGGCCAGGTCGCGGGGGCAGCAGTCTAAGCAGAGATCCCCAGACTTCCCTCTCCCTAGACACTTCCTCCAGCTCTTCTGGGGGGACACCGAGGCGTTCCCAGGCCAGCAGGGAGACATAGTCTCTCCAGCGTGTCCTAGGTCTTCCCCGGGGCCTCCGCCCAGTGGGACGTGCCCGGAACACCTCCCCAGGGAGGCGTCCAGGAGGCATCCGGAACAGATGCCCGAGCCACATCAGCTGACCCCTCTCGATGTGGAGGAGCAGCGGCTCTACTCTAAGCTCCTCCTGAGTGACCGAGCTTCTCACCCTATCTCTGTGGGATCGCCCAGCCACCCTGCGGAGAAAGCTCATTTCCGCCGCCTGTATCCGGGATCTTGTCCTTTCGGTCATGACCCAAAGCTCATGACCATAGGTGAGAGTAGGAACGTAGATTGACTAGTAAATCGAGAGCTTTGCCTTACGGCTCAGCTCCTTCTTCACCACAACAGACCGTTACATCGACCGCATTGCTGCAGAAGCTGCACCGATCTAGGGTGATGGACGAGTCCACCTTTGTGCCCTCAGCCTCTGCTTCCTCAATGGATGACGTGACGGCGGGATTGAGGAGATCCTCGAAGTATTCCTTCCACCGCCCGACGACATCCCCAGTTGAGGTCAACAGCTGCCCACCCCTACTGTAAACAGCATTGGTAGGGGACTGTTTCCCTCTCCTGAGGCGCCGGACAGTTTGCCAGAATCTCTTCGAGGCCAGCCGATAGTCCTTCTCCATGGCCTCACCGAACTCCTCCCAGGCCCGAGTTTTTGCCCCCACAACCACCCGGGCCGCAGTCCGCTTGGCCTGCCGGTACCTGTCAGCTGCCTCCGGAGTCCCACAAGCCTCCCTCTGGATCTGGTTGTAGCTCTGCCTGAGGTGAGAGTTGAAGATCTCTCTGACAGGAGATTCAGCCAAACGTTCCCAGCAAACCCTTATAGTACGCTTGGGTCTGCCGAGTCTGTCCAGCCTCCTCCCCTGCCATCGGATCCAATTCACCACCAGGTGGTGATCAGTTGACAGCTCCGCCCCTCTCTACACCCGAGTGTCCAAGACATGTGGCCGCAGGTCAGACGAAACGACCACAAAGTCGATCATCGACCTGCGACCTAGGGTGTCCTGGTGCCACGTGCACTGGTGGACACCCTTATGCTTTAACATGGTGTTTGTTATGGACAAACTGTAACTAGCACAGAAGTCCAATAACTGAACACCACTCGGGTTCAGGTCGGGGGGGCCGTTCCTCCCAATCACGCCCCTCCAGGTGTCACTGTTGTTGCCCACGTGAGCGTTGAAGTCCCCCAGTAGAACGACGGAGTCCCCAGTCGGAGCACTTTCCAGCACTCCTCCCAGAGACCCCAAGAAGGCCGGGTACTCTGCACTGCCGTTTGGCCCATAGGCACACACGACAGTGAGAGACCTATCCGCGACCAGTAGGCGCAGGGAAACGACCCTCTCGTTCACCGGTGTAAACTCCAACACATGGCGGCTGAGCTGGGGGGCTATAAGCAAACCCACACCAGCCCGTCGCCTCTCACCATGGGCAACTCCAGAGTGGTGAAGAGTCCATCCTCTCTCAAGGAGTGTGGTTCCGGAGCCCAAGCCATGCGTAGAGGTGATCCCGACTATCTCTAGTCTTAACCTCTCAACCTCACGCACAATCTCAGGCTCCTTCCCCGCCAGCGAGGTGACGTTCCACGTCCCTAAGGCTAGTTTCCGTGTCCAGGGATCGGGTCGCCGAGGCCCCTGCCTTCGACTGCCGCACAATCCTCTCTGCACCGGCCCCTTATGGCTCCTCCTGCAGGTGGTGAGCCCACGGGAAGGCGGTCCCACATCGCTCCTTCGGGCTGAGCCCGGCCGGACTTCGTGGGGAGAGGTCCTGGCCACCAGGCGCTCGCATATGAGCCCCAACCCCGGGCCTGGCTCCAGGGTGGGGCCCCGGCTGCGCCATACCGGGCGACGTCGCGGTCCTTGAATTTATTTCTTTCATAAGGGGTTTTTGAACCACTCTTGGTCTGACCCGTCACCTAGGACCTGTTTGCCTTGGGAGACCCTACCAGGGGCATATATCCCCAGACAACATAGCTCCTAGGGTCATTCGGGTGCTCAAACCCCTCCACCACGTTAAGGTGGCAGTTCAAGGAGGGGCTCATTCATCATCATGCACTTAAAGGGAATGTGATATGACACTCTTATTGGTTTGTTTCCCGTTGTGCCCAAACCACACCTATGAATAATGAGGCTACTTCAGACAAACCCCATTTAGATTTGCGTCGAGCGCAAGAGTCATTTATCCCGCCAGTTAAATAGCAACAGCACCGCCGAGATCTGCCCACAAAGTTACTTGCGCTTTGTGCTTGATACTTGCGTTTCAGATCGTTAAAATAGGGCCCTATGACAGTGTTCTCTGCTGCTGGCTGAAGCGCTTTTTCCTCTTTGGTCGAAGTAGCACTGGAAAAGGAAGAGTGGGAAGAGCAGTGACAGTGTCGCCATATTGAGAGAGAGCTAGCCGAGAACACAGAGATAAGCCATCAGCAGAAAGTGCAGTTTCAGCGTGGGCCGGCCCCAGGCATGAAACACACTCCGAATGCCTGACACCCTCGTGCAGATGGGATCCGCACGTGCCGCATGTTGAGTGAGGCATTTGAAACAATGCGCGCTAGCTCTTTCAGACTGTATAACGTCCCAGTGAGTGAAGGGATATATGGTTGATCACCGGATAGCCACTGGAGAACGGCAACAGGAGAGAGAGGTGTGAGTGCTCGTTCTGGCAGAAAAAGGCTTGTTTCCATAGGTGCCAGAAGCAACAAAATGTGGGTGGGTTATCCTCCAGAATTTTTTTTTTACTGGAGTAGATTAGGAGTGTTCATGAAGCCAAATACCTTTTCTAAAATATCTGTGCAAGAGTGAGGGAAGTGAATGAGTGAGGGTAAAAATTAAACGAGCGCACATCTCTCAGAAATCACAGCTTGGCAAGATTAATATCAACTCAAATAGGATATTGTATATTATCGTATGTATATTTAAATGATTTAAGCTTTGTACAATATACAGGCTACTCGAATGAATGGAATAATCAGAAATCAAACTATCCTTAGCATTAAATGCCGTCTCTGCATGTCTCCATTTCAGCAACCAGTTCTAATAGCTTATAATCAACTAAGATTCATATAACCTACATTAATCACTACTTGATGCATCTATTTAAATGTTTTAAACTTCGTATGATGTCCCATAGGAACCTGAGGACAGCACATGCGCATTGGCTCGTCTAGCTGGAAAGTAAGGGTTTTTAAAGCCAAGTTGAAATCAGCGCTGTAGCTAAAACACCAAAGTGGAATGGATTTGACAGACAAGAGTGTTGAGCAAGTTACTTAAAAGTAATTAGTTATAGTTACTTCTTTCAAAAAGTAACTAAATTAGTTACTTAAGGAACTACTTCAGAAAGTAATTATTGTGTCAGAAGTGACCTCCACCCCTCTTTAACGGAATTTAAAATACATGTGCATGTTCAATTATTTATGATAAATCTGAATGTTATAATGAAATGAACACCTAATACAATACATTATTGACAGAAACAATGCACACAAATCTAAACTATTTTAATGTTGCTGTGGCACAAAGTGAGACAAGCCTCCAATCATGTCTGATATTATGTTTATATAGTGGATCGATACAAATAACACAATAGATGTTTTGGAAATTTGATATGTATTGCCCCTCAACAGGCCACAACTGGGTAAAATTAAATTATGCTTGTCAAGCACTATACCACAAATAAATAACACATAAATACACTCTTTGTAGTGCAAATAAAATCAAATAAAACAAAATGTGTTTATTACTTTATTACTCAATAAATTAGTCCAGAAATTAGTAAAATATCAGTCTACAAATGCGTTTCATATTTAATATGAGGGAAATACACATGCGTGGCACAAAAAAATCTTTAAATCTTCAAAATATTTTTTTGTATAATTCTCTAAGCCTGAATTACACTGTGCAAAAGTAAATCTATCCATATTCTGTGTTCGCATTTATGAGGAATAGCAATGTTACGGACATGACAGTTCTCTGTGGCAGACGCGACCCGCTAGGAAAGCATTACTAAAAGATGCTTTAAAACTTTCACAGAGACCTCAAACAGAGAGCACAAAGCCTTTCTTTAAAGTGAATTTCGTTTTGTATTAATTGTATTTTAATTTGAATCAATGTTTCATCAACCAATTGCCTGGATTTAATAAATAAGAAGTAAATAGTAAAGACAGTAAAGGTGAGTGGGTCCAATATCATTGGTCTTAAAAAGTGGGTGGGTCTTGTCCCAACCATATACAATGGTTCTGACGCCTATGCTTGTTTCCATGGCGATAGCTTCAAATTTTCCCAGAGGACACAGAGACAAAAGTTGTCGCTGAAGTACAGAAAATCTGCTTGTGGCGAGCGGGGTGTGGTTTTGCGAAGTCTGTAGCGGGAGAGAGAGGAGGGAGCCGCGATGTGAGAAAGTAGGTCAAGTGCAGATAATGAACACATGTGTCTGATTTCAGTGATTGGCGTGGAGAGACCGCATATAAGCCGGTGGGAACGAGAGAGCAAGAAAGAGTTGGTCTGGTGCACTGCTGCTTGTCTGAAAGCCTGCCAAGCTGTTTTTGCATCGTGTTTTTTGTCCCTCTTGTGCTGTGTAACGCTATGGCACGTGAATGCACTACTGTGCGCCTCCTTTTCTTTTATTTATATTATTTATAAATAAACGAGAGTCCCAGTCACGCCGACCCCTGTCTTCTTCCTTCCACCCCCACGCTGAACCATTACCACACTGCTATAATGGCGAATTTGGGTTACCTTTACAGGCGCTCTTCCCTTCAGAGGCACCTTCGCCATTGGATGTGCAGTTGCTGCAGCACAGCCAATGAGTGAGACGTCACTCACTGTGCTCGCTGTGCAGCTGCAATGCGTTTTACATAAAATCTTCAATAATCTGAGGAAAAGAGTTTCCCCCACTGTGTATAGCTACACAATATGAAGTGACCGTTCTCGAAAGGGAACTGCAATTATGAGAATTAGTCTCATTTCTGAAATGTGAAGTTAATCAGTCACAATCAGTAGATATAGAGAAATAAGTGACTTTTTTTTTACTTAATGTATGGCAAATATAGTAGATCATTATACACAAATGGTAGATCATTATATTATGTTACAGACTGATCTCATGAAGTAGCGTGTGTATGACACGCCAATTCATATTTACATTTTTGGTGTGCTATCAACACGCATAATCTCTTTTCAGCGTGTTATGAATGGTGGTATTACTGTACATATAAATATATGACTTAACTCAACCCCATCCCTAAACCTACCCGTCACTGGGGTTAATGGCATTTATGAGTCTTCCCCTACCATCCTAGGGAAAAAAAGATTGCTCCCCAGATGTAGATCTACATTTTGCTTCGTTTCACTCGGACATTTGACGGCGTGTACATACACGCGGAATCACTCGGACATTAATGTCGTAGACACACACGCATACACATGGATACACGTTGATAACACGCCACTTGACTCGAAAGTGGCGTGTATGTTTACGCAAAAGTCATGATGTCATGTTGTATGTTAAATTATATAATTATGATAGATTATTGTTATACACAAATATTTGACAGAATCGAGCATTTATGCAGTGGATAATGAAGCTGTCTGTAAGAAATGCATACATATGCAGATTGCAACATATACAGTATGTTTCTATACACACACTGTATATAGTATATGTCACTAATATTGTTAATTTGTTTTTTTGTTTTTCCTTATGGGAAGCTTGCTCAGATGTGCCTATCATAATGATTATCATTTTTCGCCAACTTCTGTTAATTGATTCTTCCCATTTAAATTCACTTATGCTCCATTTTAAGCGACTCTTTCCCTATCTTGTCTCTGTCTCTTTCCCAGCAGGTCGACCACATACTGACCCCGGAGGAAGGACAGCTCAATAAGATGCAGAATCATAGCTACAGAATCATAGCTAATCCGCAGACCACCGAGAGCTCCTTTATCCCCCCGTTTTTGCTTTCGTTCATGAGGGCATGGCCGTGCCGAGCATGTTAGGCGGTTTTAAAATCTTGAAATTGTGTCACTGTCACACATTCTTTCTGAATGAATTAAGTGTTTCAAAGAAGCTAAACATGTTCGACATGAATGGTTTGTTTTGTCATTTCTATTTTCAAAGCAAAGTTTATGTCAAGGAGAATCTGTAATATGAATGAAATAATATTTTTGAGTTCACTACAGAAACCCAGTAGGGAAACCCTTTTTCATGCAGTAGTTGATTTAACCGTCGAGGGTTTGTGTTGTGTGACTGAAACTAGAATGCCGTCACCTGTGAAAGGTGGTAAACAACTTTCACTGATTCCAAAACTGTCACTAAGACTGTCACTTCTACACATGCCACTAAGGCCTGAAAATCAAGCTTTCAATCAAGTTTTTTTTTTTTTAATATATATATATATATATTAGAGGGTTATAGAGTTGTCTGTTTATTGCATTTATGTTCTAGTACATGATAGAAATTTTAAATCAAACTATTGGGTGTCCGTCGCTGTGACACAAATAATGTGAACACAACAATTTACTGTAAGCCTGTCGTAGAAAGGACATGTCTTAGTCTGAATCTTTTTAATTGTAGAACTTACAGGTTTTTGTGAAGAATACAGAATCATCATTTATATTACGTGAATATTAACGATAAAGGGTGCCATGTGCGTATTATAGTGCCGTTTTATTATATAGCGTTCTATGTGACGCTAAAGGATGAGAACGGGCTGTACAAGACATATCAACAGAAGTGAAACCAAAATGGCCCAGTATGTTTGTTTTCCGTTTCTGCAGTCCAAAACTACACTTTTATATAAACCAAACCAAACTCCGTCCTGTGGAATCATAGCTCATATTTATTTTTCGGAGTCAAGATGCACCAAACATAATGGCCCTCATTTATCAAAAGTGCGTACACCAAATTTCCAGCGTACACCTTGCGTACACCCAAAACCACGGTGAGTTTGAGATTTATCAATATGGACGTGGGCGTACGGCACGCTCGAATCCTACACCAACTCAGGAGGTGGTGTACGCACGTTTTGAGTTAGTGAGGAAATGCGCAGAAAAATTCCTAACACCACAAAACGCACTGACAAACTAAAAGATATGATATGACCCACTGTAAAACAAACAAATAAAAAAACAACATAGTAATTATAAACTTCAGTGTTTATTTTTTGTGTTACGTGGACTTCAATGTTTAATTTGTGTGACTTTACCAAAGCATTTGATTTGTAAGCATATGTATTCCTTCAGTTGCGAGCCCGCTTTACCCTGACGTTTCAGGATTATCCCCGGCAGCCAGGTGCGCACGGACTGGGTTCGGCATAATCTTACGCCAAAATATACGCCCGTTTCTACGCAAGATTGATAAATGAGGGCCAATGACATGATCGTTTGTATTTGATTGCATTGCCTTTGTTGTCCTCCGTTGTCCTGGAACAGTCACATTTGAACATACCTGAACTGAAACCAAACAAAAATGTATTTAACCTCTTTGAACAAAAGCATCAAGGCATGCTACTCATTCTTAAGGCACCATTAGAAACATAATGGTTCATAAATCTCTCCAGGTTAGACTGGCCTAATTCAACACATCAGAAGCTCATGGCACTTAAAACGGATTGTGGATCGCACTGAGGTGTATTTATGAATTGTGATCAGTTAACATTGTGGTTCGATGCCCTAATTTAGGACTCTTAAATAAGATTTCGTACCAGCATCAGGCAGATTTAGGACAACATTCAGTAAAGATTGATTTTACATTTATACACGTCTTCTCTTGGCTGAGATGACGCATCCCTCTCTTATCCCGAACCAATAGAAATGTAAACGAAGTTACGGATGTTTTAACTGCTGCATTATTGCCTTTTTCAATGCTGTGTTTTGGATGTAATTATATGTATTTTTTATTTAAGTCGATATTAATTGGAGTTTGGGTCATTTGCTATATAGATTTGGACTGTAAACACTGAACGGGTCTGATCAACATCATGCTTTTAAACTAAACTAATTAACAGAGCACAACTGTATCCAGATTGACTCATTTGTGTCCATTCATCACTTCAGAATCTTCCCTCGTCTTGCTGAACTCATTACTGAAGGATCAATGCAGTGAAGGTTAAGATGGAAACGCATTTAGCCTATAGATCTAATGTGTTGAACATCCTATACACCCCAGTTTTATCTTTCAAATTACTAACTGGTGCTTTAAGGAACTTTACAGAATTTGACATTAAGCTACTGAAACCAATGCAATGAAATAAGCTGATCTGGAATCATTCTGAATTTCACCAAAGACATGTTCTGGATATGATTGGGAGGCCAAATAATGTGTTGTGTTTTTAATTGACATGTATTGTAAAAGCAAGCAACCTGTGAACTGATCTGGTTTGTTGTACTTGCATTGAAATGGCAATAAAATTATAAATGACCCATACAATTTGACTATGGCTTTTGACTTTTGGAATAGCATCCTGTCAGTACACTTCTGGTCATTATTGACAAGATAATTGAGAGAATTATTTCAGTCATTTTATTGTAATCTAGCTTATGATCACAACAAAACAAAGATGCCAGGTTTATTTCTACATTCTCAGAAAAAAAAAGGTGCAAAGCTGTCACTGGGGCAAAAGCCTAAGGTATATACTGTAAGTGAAAAGGTCTTTGCAACTTACCCAGATAGCAAGCAACTATCAAAAAAAAAGAAAGAAAGAAATCAATGTTATTGTGTCAATGTGAACCGCATTAAACCACATCACTTTTGCATCCGCAATTAATTTTTGCATTAATTTATTTATTTATTTTTTGCAACTTGCAACAATGTGATGTTGGTTTAGAAAAATTAAACTAAAACTGACTGAAAACCACAGCCTGAAATCAACAGCAAATAAAAGGAGACAATAAATCTCACAAGATCTCAGCAGAGGAGGATTAATCCACTCCAAAAACAGTAAGCTTTACTTATTACAAACCAGACTGACTTTAGTTCTGCCATTCATCTACAGAAGTTATTACTGAGAATCAACAGAGGTTTAGATGTTGATGTTTTATTGAAAATGTTCAGTCACCATTATTTCCTTTAGATAGGCAGTTTGACTCTTAGCTTTTAAAGGTGCAGTGTGTGATTTTTCGGTTGCGAGTTTGCACTAAGGGCTCAAGCCCACTGCTCGCCCCTCCCTTGTGTTGAAGCTACGGTGGCTAAAACGGGACAAACATCTCGTCGCCTGAGACAGCAGAGAATAGCCAGAGTAAGCCAAGAGTGTGTAACATTGTCACTGTTTCTGTACCACAGTCCATTATAAACCACATCATGGATAAAGTTTAAAAAGCCATAATCAGGTGAGGATCAAGGGTCTTAATATATAATATAATAATATTAATCTTCTGATTGTCACAAACGTAACCAGCACATTTCTCCCCACATAGCAAACCCATTATACAGCGAGGGAGAAGAACCACATGAAACTAGGCAGCTATATATATTTTTTCAGGGTAGTAAAAGTTTAGCTGGCTAATATGAGCTGTTACTGTGGCTGAGATGGTTAAAGCCTAAAGCCTTGTTTAAACTCAACGCATCTGCATGAGTCCAAAGGTGCTCGGCAAAAATGACATGATTGTAACAGTGCGCTCACCTCCGCATCCCATAGACACCATTTACTACACACAATAGGCTTTTTTCTCCGACTTAGATCTCTTTTAAGATCGACGGGTTAGTGATTTTAAATTTAGGGTCTGAGAATATTTTGGGAACGTTAGTTTTTGGTTCCCAGAACGTTTATAGAACTTTCCCTTAAGGTTAAGGGAACATTCCCTGAACATTCTCCTTACGTTATAAAAATGGAACCTAAAAATAACCTACATGGAACGTTCCTATAACATTCTTGTTTGGTTCCCAAAAAAAATAACCTCATGGGACCATTCGGGAACGTTAGGGGAACGTTCTGTGTTTGTTTTACGGTCAATGACAAGAGTCCTAATCAGCTGTCTCACCAGCACATTTATCCCCACATAGCAAAGCCATTACACAGCAAGGGAGAAGAACTAAGTTACCTGAAACAATCCAACCACATATTTTACACCACTGACAAGGGAAAAGTCACTACTCACAGTGTCTATGGCTTCCAGCTTTCTGCTGCTTCTCTTTCAAGGTAGTGATGAAACTCGCTCTGTAGTGCTGTTTGTTCGCTGTCAGCTATGGTAGAAACATGGCGACACAATATGTCGACCTTCATTGAAGGGGGTTCCCGTGGTTATGTAGATATAAATGTCTCATCCTAAGGTAATAAAAACATAACAGTTTATTTAGTAAGTTCTTTATACACTACTGAAAATAGTTAGGGATATAACTATGGATGCTAAGAGCGTGGTTGCAAACAATGAAAATAAAGTGCAGGATTTAATCATGGCAGTCGGTCATTATAACAAAGAAACAAAACACTCAAGAAACTCATAAAACATAACAACTAAACCAGACAAGAACGGACAGTGAACTGAACAAAGACGGCTTAAAACTCAAGGCAAACTAATCAACTAAATGAATAACAGGTGCACATGATAATCAAATAAAAAAGAAACCATGGAGAAAACTGGAACACAGGAAACTGAACTAAAACATGTGACAAACCCACCTAAAACAGAAACTTACACATATACCCGTAAACTAAAAAGCTAAAAGCACCCTGGGGTAAAAGGAGCCTTTGGTTTTATTTTCCTCAAACACTAGAAGGTGTTTCCAAAAAATCCGCTTTTAAAGATGAACGTGAACATTTGTCTGATCGTTGAACCGATCGTTGGCAGCAACGCAAAGTTGATTTTGTGCTAAATTGATCTAATCTTTTGTAGCGCCCTATCCCTTAGCCCTGAGTTAGTTTAATAAACAACAAACTCATCTTCATCTTTCAATAAACACTTGTCGAAATATTGGTGTGCTTCTAACAGACTAAAATTACCACAAATTCTTGTAAGTAAAATAGAATATCTTCACTAAGGTTTTTTGAACCGCTCTTAGTCTGACCTAGGACCTGTTTGCCTTGGGAGACCCTAGGCATATAGCCCCAGACAACATAGATCCTAGGGTTGTTCGGGTACTCAGACCCCTCCACCAAGTTTTTTTTTTTTTTTTCCAGTAAAAATGTATTCAATTTCCTACTTAAATCTTAAATCTTTTTTAAATCAAAATTATTTTTTTGTCATTTTTCGGTACAAATATCTCAGCCTACACATTACTAATGAGTATTACTAATTATGCTTGTGCTATGACTTAAATTTTAGTGATTGTCTGAATCAGTAAATGAAATATCAGTGTTTGTCATATTCTAATGGAAGCGTTTCAACAAGTTTCTCTCCAGTTTGTTTCTGGGTGTCTTTGGCTTCTGATTCTGATTTCAGTACCATGGATAGAGGATTAAACAGATCGATCTGTGTCATCTTGGCACGTTTACAAAAGGAAATACCAAAGAAGATTTTCAACGTGAACAAAAGGATTTGTTGTGGCTGTCTTTATTTATCTTTATAACTGAATGAGAACATCATGTGCATTTCATTAGCTCTGGTAAATAGTTTATCTGTACAGGTGAGAACATCTGATAAACATGACTCGTTTGGAAGTTAGTATCTAGTAGCTTTTCCACCACTGTTGTTAAATATTGCAACACATTTGTCTGTCATTTGTTACTGTGAAAGTGGAATACAGTTTTTTTTTATTTAAATGTATATATATTTTTTAAGTACTTATATTTTTAAGGAAAGTATTTTATATTTAATTGTGTTTGCTGTACTTTGTGGATTATTTTAATTTGTTTTAATTTCAGAAAAATGATTACACTTCATTACATTTTATTGTATTCATTTCATTTTATTTTCATTATTTCATTACCAGAAATTTTCATTATTTGTTTAAAACTGTAACATGTAACATGAACCAAAAACAAAACATTAAACTCAACAGGCAGGTCCCAGACTGACACAAGGCCAAAAGTAATGAACAAAAAGACCATCAACAAGGACCAACTGTGATACAGATTAATGATAAGAAACTCTGCTTTTGCCTCATTTGAAGGGTAAATTGAGTAGTTATCTTTTTTATGAGAAAATACTTATATAAAGCTTATAAAAGCAAGCAACCTGTGAACTGATCTGGCTTGTTGTACTTGCATTAAAATGACAATAAAATTATAAATGACCCACACAATTTGACTGTGGCTTTTAACTTTTGGAATAGCATCCTGTCAGTACACTTCTGGTCATTATTGACAAGATAATTAAGAGAATTATTTCAGTCATTTTATTGTAATCTAGCTTATGATCACAACAAAACAAAGATGCCAGGTTTATTTCTACATTCTCAGAAAAAAAAGGTGCAAAGCTGTCACTGGGGCAATAGCCTAAGGTATATAGTGTAAGTGAAAAGGTCTTTGCAACTTACCCAGATAGCAAGCAACTATCAAAAAAAAAAAAAAAAAGAAAGAAAGAAAGAATGAAATCAATCAATGTTATTGTGTCAATGTGAACCGCATTGAACCACATCACTTTTGCATCCGCAATTAATTTTTGCATTATTTATTTATTTGCAACTTCATCATTAAATCAATGTTACAATGTGATGTTGGTTCAGAAAAATTAAACAAAAAGACCATCAACAAGGACCAACTGTGATACAGATTAATGATAAGAAACTCTGCTTTTGCCTCATTTGAAGGGTAAATTGAGTAGTTATCTTTTTTATGAGAAAATACTTGTTTTTATGAGAAAATGACTGTTAGTCTGCTGTGGGTAGACGACTTAGCAAGTCATCATCTGTTTTTCAGATTTAGAAAATTAGCTTATGAACACAACTTTAAAAAGGTTTTACAGATAAGTGAATGAGTTTACATATTATTTTTGTTTTAAAGCAAACTGTCTATTTTGACGTACAGAACGAGCAGGAGTTGGATCATTATGACATTAAATAAAGGTATGTAAAGTTTGCCGTCTCCACTGGTGACAGGAGCTCAATGATTTTTTCGCAAGCTACAGTGTTTTTAATTAAGTTCTTCCTCATACCCACAAAACCATACCCTCATTCTCAAAGCTAAACAAAGACGTGCAACAAGACAACATTGTTTTCTTGCATTGTCGTCACAGAACATTTGTGAATATCAGAGATGTAACTGATGATTAAAACTGAAACTAAACCCACTTTTAGCTGTACTTGTATTTTAAATTGAATGATCTTAAAGAGACTGCATAATTGGGCTACTATATTTTGTGCCATGTGAAATCCAATAATAGTTTTGTGAAGACTTTTAAACTGTTCCACTGTCATTGATGTAACATGTCAACAGTTGAAATTGCACATGTAGACAGACACAAACACACTGATCGCTGACTCGATCGAGGTAATAATATATTAGCTTGAGAGCATAAAATATTTGAATAAAACAAAAAGAGGCATACATATATATGTGTGTGTGTGTGTTTATATATAAAACAAACAAATAAACAAGGAAATAAAAGTAATAAATAGAAATAAACCAATAAAATAAAATAACTCAAACATTTACCATTACTGTGTTAAAGGTAAATAACAAACTTTATTATTTATCAACAGAGAGTTTACTGTAATATAATTATTTCCAAAAAGTAAATGTAAGTGATGTTGCAGAAAAACACGCAGTTGCACAACACTTTCCGATAACTGTGATGCCAACTTATTCAACCGGTTGATTAACATTAAGAATTTTTAGTTTTACTTTTCCTCAGCTCTAATAGTGTGACTTAATCACAATGTAATCACTCAATTTCACTCTCTTCCTCTTCGGCATCACTGGCTTAAATGACTTGACAGGTTGATTAAGGAATTTGCAACAGGTCAGACACTTGATGATAAAGCCAATAATTCACCGTGAGCATTACAAAATAAATTTTTTAGTCTTCACTTAATTTACAGAAAATCTACCTATAAAAACTAAAACCTCACAACAGGCAACAACAAATACTTGCTCCCATCAGAAATATTTCATAACCTACAGTGAAAGAGGAAGTTTGATGCTTTTCAAAGAAGAAGAAAGTGGTCACACCTTCAGAAGATGCAGATTGTCTCCAGCGATAACAGATCTCAGCATTCCTCAGTTGTGAGGTCATTTGAGTTGCTGGGATGGACCTCGATCACGTCCCACATTTAATAGATGATATAAAAGCGAGAGAGAGAACCTACAGGTACAACAGTGAGACATCACAAACTCATCGACATCATGATCTTCACCATTACATGCCTTGCCCTAGTGGCTTCTGCTCTGGGTAAGTGTCTTCTTTAGAAGTTTGCAAGAAAAGGTATGGGTGAACATTTATATTCACAAAATGCAAAACCTAAATAAAGAGCTTCTTGTGTCATGAACTTCTGTTCTTTATCTACAGGTTGTGGAGTGCCTGCGATTAAGCCACAGACGATTGGCAGCAGGATTGTGAACGGACAGAATGCCATCTCTGGTTCTTGGCCCTGGCAGGTCTCTCTCCAGGTAACAGTGTATTGGCCGACTTATATCCTGCATTTGCCTGATTTGGTCATAGAGTATACTGTACGTCATCTTTTCAATGCTTTTACCTCCGAAACAGCAACCCAACGGAGACCACTTCTGCGGTGGATCCCTGATCAACCAGAACTGGGTTCTCACTGCTGCTCACTGCCGTGTCCTGTAAGAGTCTTTAATCTAACAAACCTCACATACAATAGTGCTTTAGATGCTATTTATCTTTCGTTTTTACAGTTAGTTTTGTCTTTACTGCTCTCTTTTTAGGGTCGGCAATCATCGTGTCATTCTTGGAGAACATAATCGTGGCTCCAATGTTGAACCCATTCAGGTCAAACTAGTTTCCAAGGTAAAGATGTTGAATGATTTCAGCGATGAGTATCAAAATTAGAGATTAACTCATACTATTTTTTAATTGCTGGTCCATTTCTGCTTTTTCACACAACTGAATTGAACTGAATCAACACAGAACTGACTTGAGCTGAATAATGAAAGCTGCTTTACGGCAGAATGCGTGAAAGGCTTAAGACGACAAAGAAGAAATAAAACATGCTTACATGTATATCTTAGATTACCATCCATAAAATCCTCTAGTAACAGTCCATCTTTTTCGCTTGTTTCTGTCTGTGCAGTTCATCCCACATCCGCTCTACAGCAGCTCGACCAAAAGCAATGACATTGCGTTGCTGAAACTTGCGTCTCCAGTTGTCTTCACTCCCCGTATCTCTCCTGTATGTCTGGCTCCATCAACCATCAACATCCTGCCTGGAACTCGCTGCTTCACCACTGGATGGGGCAAAACTAGCCCCACATGTAAGTTAGACAAAGACAAATTGCAAAATTTACTCTTGTATATTACTTGTTTTGTAACAGTCTAACAGTCTGTCTGATGTTCTCTTTTTTCAGCTTCAGCGATTCCTCTAATCCTGCAGCAAACAGGTCTGCCCATCATGAGTCCTACTCAGTGCAGACTGATCTGGGGTCAGAGCCGAATCACTGATGCCATGATCTGTGCTGGAGCCTCTGGATCCTCATCTTGCAATGTACGTGAAGACAGATCAAGAAAAACACATTACCATACTAATGTTGCTGCTGTTTCGATCTCAAATGTGTGTGTTGTGTCTGTGTGTTTCCCACAGGGTGATTCTGGTGGTCCTCTGGTGTGTGAGAGATCAGGGGTCTGGACTCTGGTGGGGTCTGTGTCCTGGGGCACCAGCACTTGTGACACCCGTTACCCTGCTGTCTACGCCCGCATCTCCCAACTGCGCTCCTGGATCGACAATACTATCGCTTCCAACTAGAGCGCCGGTCTGAGCATTTACCCTTCAAAGGAGGCAAAAGCAGAGTTTCTTATCATTAATCTGTATCACAGTTGGTCCTTGTAGATGATCTTTTTGTTTATGTCTTTTGGCCTTGTGTCAGTCTGGGACCTGCCTGTTGAGTTTAATGTTTTGTTTTTGGTTCATGTTACATGTTACGGTTTTTAACAAATAATGATAACTTCTGGTAATTAAATAATGAAAATAAAATGAAATGAATACAATAAAATGTTATGAAGTGTAATCATTTATCTGAACTCAAAACATAAATTACAATAATCCACATACAGTACAGCAAACTAAATTACATATACAATATTTTCCTTAAAAATATAAGTACTTAAAAATATGTATACATTTAAATTGCAATTTAAAAAAAAAACTGTATTCCACTTTCACAGTAACAAATGACAGACAAAAGTGTTGCAATATTTAACAACAGTGGTGGAAAAGTTACTAGATACTAACTTCCAAACGAGTCATGTTTATCAGATGTTCTCACCTGTACAGATAAACTATTTACCAGAGCTAATGAAATGCACATGATGTTCTCATTCAGTTATAAATATAAATAAAGAAAGCCACAAAAAATCCTTCTGTTCACGTTGAAAATCTTCTTTGGTATTTCCTTTTGTAAACGGGCCAAGATGACACAGATCAGTCTGTTTAATCCTGTCCATGGTACTGAAACCTGTGTGATGTCTTCAATCAGAAGCCAAAGACACCCAGAAACAAACGGAAGAGAAACTTATTTAAACGCTTCCATTAGAATATGGCAAACACTGATGTTTCATTTACTGATTCAGACAATCACTAAAATTTAAGCCATAGCACAAGCATAACAATTCTTATTGCTTATAGATTTAGATGCACTTTTATGTGCACTACTGTTATGACTTTTTGTACTTTTATACTTTGTTATTTTTTTTCAGATTCATAACATTATCTTATTAACAAAACTTAAAAAAAAAATTAAGGGGGGGGGGGTCATTTTACAGATAAGTGGCCATTGTCAATAGAACAAAATGCCTTTGAGGGGGGTAATTACATTTTGATTGCTTTTAAACAAACATAATCAAAACAAACTCCATTGTGATGTACAGAATGAGCAGGAACCGGAACATTATGACATTAAATAAAGATATGTAAAGTTTGCCGTGCTCAGACTGGTGAACAAAAAAAAAAAAAAGATTTTTCAGCAAGTTACAGTGTTTTTAATTAAGTTTCTTCCTTGAGAAACTTCCTCATACCCACAAAACCATATCCTCCTTCTCAAACCTAAACGTTTAAAGACGTGTAACAATGGGAAGACATCATTGTTGTCTTCCATTGTCTTCACAGAACATTTGTGAATATCAGAGATGTAACTGATGATTAAAACTGAAACTAAACCCACTTTTAGCTGTACTCGTATTTTAAATTGAATGATCTTAAAGAGACACTAATTAGGCAATAATATTTTGTGCCATGTGGAATCCAATAATAATTTTGTGAAGACTTCTAAACTGTTCCACTGTCATTGATGTACCTTGTCAACAGTTGAAATTGCACATGTAGACAGACACAAACACACTGATCGCTGACTCGATCAAGTTAAGAATGTATTAGCTTGAGAGCAAAATATTTAAATAAAACAAAAAGAGGTATAAGGAATACAAAACCAGCCATAAAGTGAACAAGTGAACACTTCCGGCAACTCAGGAACTTAAAAAAAAAGAAAGATTACATAACAAATCAGGAGCAGAATCAGAACATGTGTTTGAAACAAGATGAACAAGATTATCTTGCTGGTTTTCTTTCCTGTTTTTGGAAGTTTGATTGTCTTTCCTTGCACTGTGTACAAACTGTAAATACTTAATAATGTACACAAAACAATGTTGACAACATTACAATTCAAAATAAAGCCTAACTGGCAAGAATTTAAATCAGCTCGAATCGAGTCTCAAAAGTCTGAATTCTAATAAAACAGTTTAATTGCATTTAACAATTAGTGCTAACTTTCATTATATCATCAGTCCACATGTGAGCCTCACTGACTAAGTCAAGCAGGGTGGCTTTATCTTGCAGTCATAAATACTGTATAACTAAGTATAACCAATATAAGTATAACCAGGGGACAGAGAGACGTGGATAGATATGGTATATAAAGGACAATAAATGTGGTATTTATAAAGGTGGTGGTCAGTACAAATAGATAGATAGATAGATAGATAGATAGATAGATAGATAGATAGATAGATAGATAGATAGATAGATAGATAGATAGATAGATAGATAGATGCCTTTATTAATCCCTCCCAGGGGAAATTCAATGTACATCAGCATTAGTGTGTGTTAATTACCAACAAACATTCTCACTACTATACGCACATAAAAGAGAGCACCAATAATAAGATAGATAGATAACTGCCTTAATTCTACATGCCATTGATTCAACAAGGTGCTAAATACGTTCTTTGGAAATGTTGGCCCCTATTGATAGGATAGCATCTTGCAGTTGATGGAGATGTGTGGGATCATCCAGGTACACATGGAAAACATCCCCCACACCATTACACCACCAACAACAACCTGCACAGTGGTAACAAGGCAAAATGGATCTATGTTCTCATTCTGTTTACGCCAAATTCTGACTCTGAATGTCTCAACAGAATTCGAGACTCATCAGACCAGGCAACATTTTTCCAGTCTTCAACTGTCCAATTTTTGTGAGCTGTTGCAAATTGCCTCTTTTTCCTATTTGTAGTGGAGATGAGTGGTACCCGGTGGGGTCTTCTGCTGCTGTAGCCCATCCGCCTCAAGGTTGTGCGTGTTGTGGCTTCACAAACGCTTTGCTGCATACCTCGGTTGTAACAAGTGGTTATTTCAGTCAAAGTTGCTCTTCTATCAGCTTAAATCAGTCGGCCCATTCTCCTCTGACCTCTAGCATCAACAAGGCATTTTTGCCCAAAGGACTGCCACATACTGGATGTTTTTCCCTTTTCACACAATTCTTTGTGAACTCTAAATCTAGAAATGGTTGTGCGTGAAAATCCCAGTAACTGGCACCAACAACCATGCCACACTCAAAATTGCTTAAATCACATCTCTTTCCCATTCTGACATTCAGTTTGGAGTTCAGGAGGTTGTCTTGACCAGGACCACAAAATGCATTGAAGCAACTGCCATGTGACTGGTTGATTGGATAATTGTATTCCAAAAAGTAAATGTAAGTGATGTTGCAGAAAAACACGCAGTTGCACAACACTTTCCGATAACTGTGATGCCAACTTATTCAACCGGTTGATTAACATTAAGAATTTTTAGTTTTACTTTTCCTCAGGTCTAATAATATGACTTAATCACAATGTAATCACTCAATTTCACTCTCTTCCTCTTCGGCATCACTGTCTTAAATGATTCACAGGTTGATTTGCAACAGGTCAAAGACTTAATGGTAGTGAGCATAATTTACCTAATTTACCGTGAGCATTAAGAAATACATTTTTAGTCTTCACTTCATTTTACAAAAACACTTTAGATATAATAAATAAAACCTCACAACAGACAACAACAAATAGTTGTTCCCATCAGAAATATTTCATAACCCACAATGAAAGAGGAAGTTTGATGCTTTTCAAAGAAGAAGAAAAAGAAGTCACACCTTCAGAAGATGCAGATTGTCTCCAGCGATAACAGATCTCAGCATTCCTCAGTTGTGAGGTCATTTGAGCTGCTGGGATGGACCTCGATCACGTCCCACATTTAATAGAAGCTGCAAATGATATAAAAGTGAGAGAGAGAACCTACAGGTACAACAGTGAGACATCACAAACTCATCGACATCATGATCTTCACCATTACATGCCTTGCCCTAGTGGCTTCTGCTCTGGGTAAGTGTCTTCTTTAGAAGTTTGCAAGAAAAGGTATGGTTGAACATTTATATTCACAAAATGCAAAACCTAAATAAAGAGCTTCTTGTGTCATGAACTTCTGTTCTTTATCTACAGGTTGTGGAGTGCCTGCGATTAAGCCACAGACGATTGGCAGCAGGATTGTGAACGGGCAGAATGCCATCTCTGGTTCTTGGCCCTGGCAGGTCTCTCTCCAGGTAACAGTGTATTGGCCGACTTATATCCTGCATTTGCCTGATTTGGTCATAGAGTATACTGTACGTCATCTTTTCAATGCTTTTACCTCCGAAACAGCAACCCAACGGAGACCACTTCTGCGGTGGATCCCTGATCAACCAGAACTGGGTTCTCACTGCTGCTCACTGCCGTGTCCTGTAAGAGTCTTTAATCTAACAAACCTCACATACAATAGTGCTTTAGATGCTATTTATCTGTCTTTACTGCTCTCTTTTTAGGGTCGGCAATCATCGTGTCATTCTTGGAGAACATAATCGTGGCTCCAATGTTGAACCCATTCAGGTCAAACTAGTTTCCAAGGTAAAGATGTTGAATGATTTCAGCGATGAGTATCAAAATTAGAGATTTTTTAATTGCTGGTCCATTTCTGCTTTTTCACACAACTGAATTGAACTGAATCAACACAGAACTGACTTGAGCTGAATAATGAAAGCTGCTTTACGGCAGAATGCGTGAAAGGCTTAAGACGACAAAGAAGAAATAAAACATGCTTACATGTATATCTTAGATTACCATCCATAAAATCCACTAGTAACAGTCCATCTTTTTCGCTTGTTTCTGTCTGTGCAGTTCATCCCACATCCGCTCTACAGCAGCTCGACCAAAAGCAATGACATTGCGTTGCTGAAACTTGCGTCTCCAGTTGTCTTCACTCCCCGTATCTCTCCTGTATGTCTGGCTCCATCAACCATCAACATCCTGCCTGGAACTCGCTGCTTCACCACTGGATGGGGCAAAACTAGCCCCACATGTAAGTTAGACAAAGACAAATTGCAAAATTTACTCTTGTATATTACTTGTTTTGTAACAGTCTAACAGTCTGTCTGATGTTCTCTTTTTTCAGCTTCAGCGATTCCTCTAATCCTGCAGCAAACAGGTCTGCCCATCATGAGTCCTACTCAGTGCAGACTGATCTGGGGTCAGAGCCGAATCACTGATGCCATGATCTGTGCTGGAGCCTCTGGATCCTCATCTTGCAATGTACGTGAAGACAGATCAAGAAAAACACATTACCATATGTTGCTGCTGTTTCGATCTCAAATGTGTGTGTTGTGTCTGTGTGTTTCCCACAGGGTGATTCTGGTGGTCCTCTGGTGTGTGAGAGATCAGGGGTCTGGACTCTGGTGGGGTCTGTGTCCTGGGGCACCAGCACTTGTGACACCCGTTACCCTGGTGTCTACGCCCGCATCTCCCAACTGCGCTCCTGGATCGACAATACTATCGCTTCCAACTAGAGCGCCGGTCTGAGCATTTACCCTTCAAAGGAGGCAAAAGCAGAGTTTCTTATCATTAATCTGTATCACAGTTGGTCTCTTTGTTCATGACTTTTGGCCTTGTGTCAGTCTGGGACCTGCCTGTTATGTTTATTGTTTTGTTTTTGGTTCATGTTACATGTTACGGTTTTTAACAAATAATGAAAACTTCTGGTAATGAAATAATGAAAATAAAATGAAATGAATACAATGAATTGTAATGAAGTGTAATCATTTATCTGAACTTAGAACATAAATTACAACAATCCACATAAAGTACAGCAAACAAAATTAAATATAAAATATTTTCCTTAAAAATATAAGTATTTAAAAAAATGTATACATTTAAATTGCAATTTAAAAAAAAAATAGTATTCCACTTTAACAGTAACAAATGACAGACAAAAGTGTTGCAATATTAACAACAGTGGTGGAAAAGTTACTAGATACTAACTTCTTTAATAATATAATATAATAAACTATTTACCAGAGCTAATGAAATGCACATGATGTTCTCATTCAGTTATAAAGATAAATAAAGACAGCCACAAAAAAATCCTTCTGTTCACGTTGAAAATCTTCTTTGGTATTTCCTTTTGTAAACGTGCCAAGATGACACAGATCGATCTGTTTAATCCTCTATCCATGGTACTGAAATCAGAATCAGAAGCCAAAGACACCCAGAAACAAACTGGAGAGAAACTTTCATTAGAATATGACAAACACTGATGTTTCATTTACTGATTCAGACAATCACTAAAATTTAAGTCATAGCACAAGCATAATAATTCGTATTGCTGACAGATTTAGACGCACTTTTATGAGCACTACTTTTATGACTGTTTGTTAGTCTAGTGGATGACTTAGTAATACTCTGTTGTTTTTTTCAGATTCATAACATTATCTTATGAACACAACTTAAAAAGATTTTAAATGGGGAGGGGGGGTTTAAACAAACATAATCAAAACAAACTCCATTTTGATGTACAGAACGAGCAGGAGTTGGAACATTATGACATTAAATAAAGGTATGTAAAGTTTGCCGTCTCCACTGGTGACAGGAGCTCAATGATTTTTCCGCAAGCTACAGTGTTTTTAATTAAGTTCTTCCTCATACCCACAAAACCATACCCTCATTCTCAAAGCTAAACAAAGACGTGCAACAAGACAACATTGTTTTCTTGCATTGTCGTCACAGAACATTTGTGAATATTTTGTAACTGATGATTAAAACTGAAACTAAACCCACTTTTAGCTGTACTCGTATTTTAAATTGAATGATCTTAAAGAGACTGCATAATTGTGCCATGTGAAATCCAATAATAGTCTGTGAAGACTTTTAAACTGTTCCACTGTCATTGATGTAACATGTCAACAGTTGAAATTGCATGTTACATGTAGACAGACACAAACACACTGATCGCTGACTCGATCGAGGTAATAATATATTAGCTTGAGAGCATAAAATATTTGAATAAAACAAAAAGAGGCATAAGGCAGTGTTTCCCAACCCTGTTCCTGGCGGCACTCCAACACTGCGCGTATTCTTTGTCTCCCTTATCAAACACACCTGATTCAACTCATCAGCTCATAATCACATGGGTTAATGAGCTGATGAGTTGAATCAGGTGTGTTTGATTAGGGAGACAAAGAATACGCGCAGTGTTGGCGTGCCGCCAGGAACAGGGTTGGGAAACACTGGCATGAGGAATACAAACCAGCCATAAAGTAAACAAGAACAAGAGCACAACTAGACGGTATCTACAGTAGTTATATAAAAAAGTTAGTATTTATTACAATCTTTTACTTAATGATCCAGGTTTTTTTTTTTTAAATAGCCACTTCTGGTAACTCAAGAACTTTAAAAATGAAGTTTACATTAGTAACAAATCAAGAGCAGAATCAGTACGTGTTTGAAACAAGACGAGACGATTATCTTCTTGTTTTTTTTTCCTCCGTTTTTTGTGTTTGAAATAAGATGAACAAGATTATCTTGCTGGTTATCTTTCCTGTTTTTGGAAGTTTGATTGTCTTCCCCAGCACTGTGTACAAACTGGTGTAGATACTTTATAATGTACACATACTAATGTTGACAACATTACAATTCAAAATAAAGCCTAAATGGCTAGAATTTAAATCAGCTCAAATCAAAATGAGTCAGTAGTATTACGGGATACATTGTGTCAGAAATGATTTATGGCTTTATGACAGGAAGGAGAGGGAGGTTTATGACAGGATGTGGGAATGGGGAGGGGGTTGAACAGAGTATCCATGGATATGATTTCTGGATGGATCGGCATCATCCATATTGTCTGAGGGAGAGAATTAAAACAAATGAGTTTAAAGAAATAACATTGGTCAAGAATAAAGAACATAAATAATGATTAAATGAAAATGAGATGTTAAATTTATAAATGCTAAAAAGTATTTTAAAGTTTGGTAACACTTTATTTTACGGTCTCCGTGATACAGAGTAATTACTTAATTGATTACTCAGTAGTAAACATTGTAATAACATGTAACAAAATGTAATTAACATGTAACTAAGTTATGTAACAGCCTGTACTTATTGTAATTATGCTGTGAACAAGAGGGTTAAAGATGGATAAGGTAGATACTCATGAAGTGCACTTAAGCACTTGATACATTTTATTTTAAAAGGTACAAAATGAACCTGACCGGTCCCACTTTATATTAAGAGGCTTTAAGTACTATGTACTTACATAGGAAAATAAGTACAATGTACTTATTGTGTTCAGGTTGTATTGTAAAACACTTTTGCTGCTATTGAGGTGTGATATGGGTATGGTTAGGGACAGGTGTAGTGGTATGGGTAGGTATCATGGTGGGCTGAGGTGTAAGGGAAGGATCAACTGTGTAATTACAAATGTAATTACATGAATTAATTACAGTTGTAATTACATGCAGGTATTTTCAAAATATAAGTACAATGTAAAAACATGTATGTACACAATAAGTCCAATTTATCAAAGTAGTAACTTCAATGTAAGTACATAGTACTTAAAGCCACTTAATGTTGCCTAACTTCATTAGATGTTAATTACATTTTGTGACCTGTTATTACAACGTCTACTAATATGTAATTAATTAAGTAATTACTCTGTATCACGGATACCGTAAAATACGTTTTAAAACAGTTTTTAAACAAATAAGTTTTAGAGCTTAACGAGGTGGTCTTTATGCGTCTGAATAATGTTGCGGATTCTTACTTCTTTCTGTGTAAGAAATGACACAAACAGTTTTAAAGGGATCGTTCACTTTGAAATTAATTTTTGATATGTTTTAGCTTACCACAAGGGGCAGTATTTTCAATTTTGATATTTTTCGGTCAAACCGTTGTCTGTCAGTCATATAATGGAAGTCGATGGGATTTTCTAAAAGAGCATGCACAGAGAAGTCAAAATTAAACAAGATTTAATGACTCGTAAATGACGAGTCGAAAACACAAAACAAGCGGTTTGTGTGATAAAACGAACAGTATTTATATCGTTTTTTACCTTTCGTAACCTCAGCCACGTCCAAGTGATCTGAATCAGTTGTCCAATGTTCAACTGAACAATGCCCAGCGTTTCGCCGGAAGCGTCGACGTCACTCATTGTTTAAACAGAGATTTCGGAAGTTTTACCTTTCACTGTGAAGATCTAAACATATTTAGATATACAGGAAATCGCAATGGAAGACAATTTCGGTATATCTAAATATGTTTAGTGAAAGGTAAAACTTCCGAAATCTCCGTGTAAATAATGCGTGATGTACACACGCAAGCAATCACTTCCAGCGGAACGTTGAATATGATTCAGTTCGATTCAGTTGGACATCTGATTAAGATCACTTGGACGTGGCTGTGGTTACAAGAGGTAAAAGCGATATAAATACTGTTTGTTTTCTCACACAAACCGCTCGTTCATGTCTTAGGCCATCACTGTGTACTTACATTTACGAGTCATTAAATCATGTTTAGTTTTTTTTTTTTAGTTTTTTTTTTTAGATAACAACGGTTTGACTGAAAGATGTCAAAATTGAAAATACAGTGAAAACAAAGACACCTACATCTTGGATGCCCTTGATGTAAGCTAAAACATATCAAAAATTAATTTCAAAGTGAACTATCCCTTTAAGAAATGAAAATCATTGTGCTTGAATAAAACGCATAGATAGTTATTAAATGAAGTAAGATGTTGAATTGACTAGATGCATTTTAATCTAATTCACAATCTAACACATCACGAATTACTGACTTATACAGACGAATAAAAAAATAGTGATTTTCGCCCTGGCCGCCCGATGGACTCTCTGTTTTGACCCCGGCTAAACCATCACCCCCTGTTCCTGTTTCCCTTCATGGACCTGGCCCACCATCCCTCCCCCTCCACCATTCCACC